ATCAGTTTAACTGCAGCACTCATAAAATATTCTGTCTTCGCTATTCGTTTCCGGGTAACGGATCTTAACAATGTCCTCTGTTAACGTCCTTACGGGCTGGCGAATATCCCAAAGCTGTCTAAGTTGAGTTTGAGTCTTGTGTTACGACCGACGGTCAGTCGGCCAGTCTGTCTTGGAATAAAGCACCCATCCGGGGCTTACTACCAGATTTTTATTACTCAGACAGTTGCGGGTTTGTTGATGTGGGGCGTTCTCTCTGACGAGAGGGCGGGTCTGTCTGCTGGACTCGCCAGCGGAGTCATTACCGGGTCCGAGTCCCGTGGGACTCGCGACTATATTTTATTGCCTCAGATTCCAGACTTCCTTTCTTTGTCGCCTCCTACGACACGCAGGGCTACGGTGGAAGTATTCAACCCATGTGGAAGAAACTCCATCTCACTTATAACCCCTTGGCACGGACCGCATATAAAGCACCGCTCCTCATTGTTGTAGTTCAATCGTTTCCGTGGTAATACATTTGCGATGTCGTTACTCAGTAACGACTGTAGTACATTTTTTATTCAGCGATCGTTGCCAAGCAACAGGCGTCGTTTATAGAGTCATTACCTAGCAACGGGTCTACACGCTACAATATCCATTACCGTATTCACAAGAACCCGCCACTACACTATATTTTGTGCAATTGAATATAGTGCACTCTCTTACACCTTGTTCTCAAAGACCAGTTCTAGCATTACTATTCCATCTATTCCTTGGTCGCGAAAGTATTATTAACATTTTAACTAAATTTTCGCATACATATCTCCCACTAATAATACATTATGAATAATGAGCGTCATCAATAGGCCGATGTCATTTCCTAGGTCCTTTTATTTTTGTCCTGGGTTCCAATATTCTCCTCAGCATCCTGTTCTCAGTCACCCTTATGCAGTGTTCTTTGTGTAGTGAGAGACAAGTCTTCAGGCCCGCAAAAAATAAAAAAATTATACGTAACATTTCCAAGGATTCCCTGCAGCGGAAATACGGAAATATTAACTTCTATATGCATAATCACAAATCCCGGTTTCGATCACGTCCATAGTCAGGTTTTATTTCATTGACTTACTTTCAGTGTCATCTGTCAGGTACATGATTCGCCGAGAATTTCTGGGAACCGCTAAAGACCTAATCTTCTATTCGAGAGTTACCTGGTTCATATCTCGGCTCAGATACCGTCTATCCTGAATTAGGCTGTTCTAAAGTTTACTTCGCTATGTGCACAGTTACTCCTTACCTTGTATGATAAAATACTGTGACTTTAAAAAATGTACTTCATGATTATAATGGATCTGCACACTTCCTGCCCACCTAAATACCAGAAAGCGTTTCCTGAAATGCCATTAATCTGTCTACGAGTATATATACCGGGTGTCACAAAAGTGCGGGGCCATAGGAGACTTCGATAATGAGCTAAAGGTGAAGCTATCCCGGCACCTAATTAAACACCACACCGTGAAGACGTACGAAGATTGGAACATATATCCTGCATTCTTAGCCTCGGCACTAGATGGAGGTGAATGATCAGCTTAGCGCCTCTGAAACAGAATCCGATATCCATTATATAGGAGGCTGGGTGGGACCCATATTCCGTCTATACGTTATGGAGAAGAGAAATATATTTCTTCCTTACCAAAAATCGAAACCTGACCCCTCGATCTTCGTGCCCGTAAAATAGTTGCTATACCGACCGAGCTATCCCGGCTCAAGTTACTTGATAGAAAACGGTAAAGAGTAAAATAGAATATGTTGTTTAAAATCGTGTGTTTGCAATCTCAAGGAACGTCCGTGACGTACTATTACCGGCTACGAAGCATAGTGCACTTCTTGGTCGCGGGTAGCCATGACACAGCGACACTGCGACTTGTGCGCTGTAGCGGACGGAACCGTATTCACATATGCGAGCAACAAGATGGACACCAGTTTAAACCTTAGCATAGCGTTCCATACGCATGTGTTATGATTTGCAATATTTTGCCTCGGTTGGCCTCACATCCATTTTCTTTTCTCTGCGAGTACATTAAAACACAATGGTTGCATTCATTATTCCTGTTTCATTTTGTACCTGTTTCTCCGTCAGTTCCGCTCCCCCCCCCTACGCGAGGAACATACGTCACATCGCCTTGGCAATATCACCGTAACTTTTTACTGCTAATATACAAAGGCTGTAACACAGTGGCGGCTCGTCCTAAATAAAAGCGTTCATTTTTGTTGGAAACCATGATTTGCAAAAACACTTTCCTCTTCGTAATTTTCGGTATTTTACCAAATAATCTATATTGACCACGTCCCGGGACTTTTCTTCATACTTTGTATATATATCTGCCTTGTTGGCGCCTGAACAGCTAAATGTATTCTAGTAATATTTGATTCTTAATATTTGTCCCATGTAACATCGATGCCCCTTGAATATGAATATTTTAGCTTCAAAAATATGGACTCTTCATATGAACACACCCAAAGAAAATGACCATTCTCTGGAAAATAACTAAATATATTTTTATTATTTTTTATGAATACAGTCTGTCTAAATAAAATTGCATATATGTTATTTTAAGGAGCTGGGATAGCTCAGTCGGTATAGCGACTAGCTACGGGCTGGACGACCGAGAGGTCGGAGTTCAAGTCCCGGTAGGGTCAAGAATTTTCTCTTCTCCACGTCGTCCAGACCGGCTGTGCGATCCACCCAACCTCCTATACAATGAGTACCAGGGTCTCTTTCCCCGGGGGTGAAGCAGCCGGATCGTGAGGCTGACCACTCACATCCAGGTAGTGCCGAGGTCAAGAAAATATGGATCTATACATCCACGCCCCCATGCGTCTTCATGACATAGTCCTTAATTAGTGAAGAACAGGGACAACTTTACCTTATGTGTTATTTAAGAAAAATACGCAAAATATTGATTATCTCACAAAGGGATTGGTTGGCTTTTGTTAAACTTTAATCGTGTACAGACTCGACGGACCCAAGTAATATTTTGTGGGTCAACATATTCTACACTTATTTCTATTCAATTACAAAATATTATTTAGGGAGGGGGGTTTTGATTGAAACTCCCCGATTTGTTGTATCGAAAGTCAATAAAGGAATTTAACTGGTCATACGCCCCCCCCTCCGCAAAATAATCTTCTATATAAGGCTTAGATAAGCCGGTTACGGTAGCCGAGCGGTCTAAGGCATGCACTGTCTTCGCTCGCTCGGAAGCCGAGGTCGTGGGTTCGAATCCCACTCAGGGCATGGATGTTTGTGTGCGTTTTTCTGTGTTTGTCTACAGGTAGAGGCCTTGCGACGAGCTGATCACCCGCCCAAGGAGTCCTACCGAATATGTAAGATCTAGAAAAACCGAAGTGAACCGAGAAGTTCATGGAGGTAGGCCTAGGCCCACTGGGGCTGTAGTGCCATGAAAAAAAGGCTTAGATAAAAAGTGCTTAATTAGTTACGCACTATGTCATGATGGCATATGAGGGAGTGGAGGTATAGCTCCACCATTTTTTACCACGGCACTATAAGAAGGAGAGAGATCAGCACACACACCCCTACCGCTTAACCCCGGGAAACTGCGGCCGGTGCGCATTTGATAGGAGGCTGTTTGGGCACAGAATGTCAGTTCTCCGTGAATCGTGTATGGAAAGTATGTTCAGCATCTTAGCAACACTTTCTATTATTTACAACAATGCGCTCGGGTGGAGTAGCCGCAAAACCCTGCGCTGAAAATTCCACCAGTGTATAATGCGTGAGGTCCCCTGACGGCGGTTCTGTCCACACAACTGACTGTACTGCAGTACACAGTAACTACTGTACTAAGGCCGTGTCCTAGCTCAGGTGGTTAGTCGCTGGCTACCCACCGCGGCGGCTCGGGTTCTAATCCGTGTCCCGTCATGTGGGATTTGTGGTGGACAAAATGCCACTGGGGCAGGTTTTCTCCAAGTACTTCGGTTTCCCTTGGCAATTCTCATTCCACCAATTGCTCCACAATCACCGTCGTCTATCATCTGGGGCTGGCACAATAGGCCAAACAGGGCCTCAGTACCAAGTGGAATATCTCACCCCATGAGAAATTAAGGCTACTCTACTAAAGATGAAACTTTTGTTTGTTTATTTCTTTTAGAATACTTTCTCCATAGCTCCGCTGTGTTTCGGAAGGTAGGAATTGGTTCTCGGAAGAAATCGCAAAACAACCTGATTTCCTTAAACCTTCCAGTCCTAGCAAGAACAATACAATAGTAATTATAAAATTATGTGTTTCTCTGCGTATTTTCAATAGTGCGGGTTTGGAAAATATGATCATACTTTGTGTTATATCACCGTGCAATTCGATAGAAGTCTACGGACGTTTCGGAGGAACGGATCACCATTATATTGTGGCTCTGTTTCATGCCTGCTTGTTGCTGGTTCCTTTCTTTTCTTACTCTTGGAACCTGATGGTGAAGGCGTTATGTTCCTCCGAAACGTTGGTGGACTTCCACAAAACTACTTGTCGCTATATTCCAGAAGATAACAGTCTTCATAGTCACCGCTACTGATGACCTCAAATGCAATATTTTTGGTTTATTTATGTCCTATATATACAGAAGATTATAAGCCTCTAATAGTCTATTAGTTACAGCCCTCATTCTTGAAGCTCTCTGCTGCCCATGTTTAGATTTTGTAGACAACAGCCTTAAAATTACTACAAGTTTTTAGAAAATAGAAATTTCACAGCCAGTTTTTAAGCGGAAGTTTTTTCACGCCCACATCATAACTTCATATGATTTGCTCTATTGCCTTTTGACAATGAGAAATGAGGCATTGGAACGGTGGGGTGACATCTAGTTGCATAATGTTCATACCAAATTTCTTGAAAATCCGCCAATTGTTTCAGAAAATATTAGGGGTGGTTGCAGACGCGAGGATATAATACCATGAGGTCCCATTTTTGAACTGCAGTGTAGCTCATATCGAAACACATTTTACACTGTTACAGCGTCGGACGGAGAACTGCCGATCTCACCCATCCTGGGCATGGTCGTGGGGGCTGCCCTCACCTTTATTTCAGTCGTGCTTCTCGTAGTGGTCAAATTTCGACGGTCGCGGTCTAGCGGAGACCAAGATAGTCACCAGCCACACGTCGAGAAACACTCAGGACCCAACAACACATCTTTGCTCCACTCGACGCCGAGCGGCAAGGACCTGGCTACTTCCGGTGTCAGAGATGGTCCTGGTGACGAAAAGGACCCTGATATTATTCCAGCGAAATTTGGTGAGTTTATCTTCACAACTAAGAAAGTTTTAATATATGTGTACTATCATGTTTTCCCCCACTACAGTGCCGACATCATCCTCACGTGATACGCCATTTTGTCATAAATATGGGTCCGACGATCGAGTAAAGGAAACATAACACCCACGCCCGGACGTAGTAGTTGATTTTGCACGCGTACAAATTCTACAAGGATATAATAAATTGCAAAGTAACTTCTTGTGATAATCTCCACTTCCCTCTTCACTCACACATCGTGTCTATGAATATGGGATTTGTAATTCTCTCAAATACGTAATTTCTTTCTCTTTATTTGGGGATTACTTTACCACATACCTCAGTTATACAAAATCCACCACCTTACTCCTGTATCTTGAAATGAACAACGAAAACAGTGATTATTATTATTATTGTTATTACTTTAAAAACCGCCACGTGCTGCTGGGGAGGTAGGGGTCCTCCGTTGCGCAACATGTCACAATATTAATTAAATCCAAATCTTTATTTATTTATGTACTGAACTCAACCGACAGAAGCCAATTAGAGACTCGGCGTAAATTCAAAATAATACCAGCGGCAAAACACCAGGACAAAACAGTTGAATAAGGAGACTTATAAGGCTCGTTCTGGATTCGATGATTGGATTTATTGACAACTTATTCACTCAACTCGGGACTACAGGCAATTACAGCGCTGTCGCTACTTCCACACGTTGCAGTTCACCGTTACACACGCAATAGGATTCTCAGTCTTCACTAGTCGTATCCTGACAACGGATTTACCACATTCTCACTGTCACTTCAGATCACACATAAAGCCTTCTTTCCACAGCTTAACTCCTTCCTTGCCCTTTCTTCTCGTCACCTTGGCCTGCCATCTGCAGAAGTCTACCCAGTTCTTGACAACTCACTCTTACTCACTCTTCTTCAGCCGAAATCTCTCACATTCTGACAACAACTAACCGCTCTCCTGGCACTTCCCGTTATATAGCCTCAAGGGCTAACCCCAAGGAAAACGCCGTCTTCTGTCGTCCCATATTATTTTAGGATTGTTTACTGATCCGGTGCCTAGCCATAGGTGTCCTATTGTTGAGCGCGTTGGATCTCGTGGGAATGTGTTTACCGAGTCGTTGCCTAGCAGTGGGTATACGCATCACAATATTTGTCAATTTACAGACTGTATTAGTAGCAGAAGCACATTCAGGGCCAGGACAGTCACTGGTGGAGCAAAAGAACATAGAAAAGTTACGTAAGTCCCGAGCAGGAACACGAATACCAACTGTTTCATGAAGAGAGGGGAGAAATTAGCGCCTTCATTAACGTTTATTAAAGAAGAAAGCATCACAGTGGCGCTACCTGATATACACACATTATGTTTACTTTTTTAATAAATTATTGTAATGTTCTTGAATATTTTGGAAATTCCTACAAAGATAGACTGAAATTTTTCTTTGAATACGTACCACATACTGGAGTCGTAGCGCAAGAGGGTTCCATACAGCAGAAACTTATTGAAGTTTAGGGCTGTTCAAAGTAAAATACTCCAGCCCCCTATCCAAAGGGTACCGTGGGGTCTTTATGTGGGGTAAAGCGGCAGGGGCGTGAAGCTGACCACTCACCTCCACCTAATGTCGAGGTGAAAAATGGTGGATCACTCCTCCATATGTCTTCCTGGCACAATGCTGTCATGATGTAGGGGTGTGGCTGTAGACAGGATATGGACTAGTGAATAGATTTATTGACCACTTACACCACTTGAAACTACAAGTAATTACAGAACTATCGCCAATCTCCACACTTTACAAATCACTACACGCTAAGTCTTCTCCAGCCTGCAGTGTCTTCACCATCCGTTCCCTGGCAACGGCTTCTAACAGTGGGGATTCTTCAGCTTCACGCGCCAAGGTTCTATGTTCACAGCCTCCCGTGCAGAACTGCCTATCGACTGACAGTTACTAAGCTGGTGGCTATTTCGCATCATCCTCCCAGCCTTTCCTTCACAGGCTGACTTTCAGTTGACGACTAGCTAGGTATTATTTTTCCTGTGGTTATGTATGGGTGCGAAACTTGGTCTCTGACATTGAGGAACAGGGTGATAAGGAGAATATATTTGGGCCGAAGAGAGATGAAGTGACAGGAGGTTGGAGAAAACTGCATATTGAGGAGCTTCAAAACTTGTACTCCTCGCCAAACATCATTAGAATGATTAAGTCAAGGAGGATGAGATGGGCAGGGCATGTAGCACGAATGGGGATAGAGTAACGCATATAGAATATTTGTGGGAAATCCAGAAGGAAAGAGAGCACTAGGAAGACCAAGACATAGCTGGGTGGATAATATTAAAGTAAATATTAGAGAGATAGAATGGCGAGGTATGGGCTGGATTGGTCTGATTGAGGATAGGGACAAGTGGAGGGCTCTTGTGAACACGGTAATGAACTTTCGAGTTCCTTAAAATGCTGGAAATTTCTTGAGTAACTGAAAAATTTGGGGCTTCTCAAGAAGAGCTAAGCTCCATGAATTTAGTCAAATAATAATAATAATAATTTTATCTTGCTAATCTGATATTTTGCCAGTAAATACAGAAACGGAATTTCGGTAAACAGATAAATTAAAATTCCATACTGAATGGACCAGTTCTGAAATTCAAACAAATTACCCAACATTGTACAGTATCATATATGGAAATATACGGATCCAGAAATTTGGCCCAGAGACTGTTCAGACGAGCAGATTGAGCGTCGAACCAATGTCACGTGCCCGCTACTGGGGGTACTTGAAAGAGGTTCCAAACCCTGGGTAGTCTATATACCGGAGACATCTGCTTTGCGATCGAAGACCATTAATAATTCATTTCAAAGTTGGAACAAGAGCCTCGCAAGTAGTGCGTGTTTTGTTTCACGTGGGAACAGATGAATGAACCCAATGAAGCAATAAAACATTGACTCCAGACGCAAGGCAAGCTTCGGTTTCGTTTCAGTGCGTTCTTATTTTGAAAACGCTCTAGTCCTGAAGTTAGCACACAAAGGAACAAAGTCGATATGGTGCTACTCTCTGTTCATATTATCGTCTCTCGTATCTTCCCTACTTCTTTCTTCTTCATCAATTTACCTTAAAACGACAGACGCGTCACAGGGATGTTGATTTTGAGGTTCGCACAGCCGTGACTATGAAGAGTACTATTTTCTATTACGTGCCGCCTTCTAGTCTGATAGAACTTCTCCATTTTATCAGCTGCTTGCGTCTTGCTCGTTGTTTATCATATTGTAACTAGTAGAGCCATTGGTATTCAATACGCGAATCAACAAACGGCAGTTTCTATGCAGCGGATCAGTAAACACGCCTAAAACAAGAAAGGAATTATTGGAAACGGTGTTTTCTGTTGGGTTCACCCTCGGGGCTATATACCGAGGACCCCTGGCCGGCTCAGGGGTCTCGGACCGGAGAAGAACTGCGATGGAAAGGACCAGCAACATATACAAAAGATAGACCCGCTCTCTCGTCAGAGAGAGCGCCCTACATCAACAAACCCGTAACTGTCTGACAGTAATAAAGATCTGGTCGCAAGCCCCAGTTGGGTGCTTCATGCCAAGACAGACTGGCCGACTGACCGTCGGTCGTAAAATGAGACTCAGACTTAGGCTCAGGAGATGATTGAGAGAGAGTTTAATGTTGGCAGTTCAGTTGAGCTCGGCAAGGGGGGGCTGAGAAGAGATGGCGCTACAGTTGCGTTAAGGGAATTGACAAGAGTTCTGCACGGGCGGCTGTGACAAGAGGGCTTGAGCGCTGGAAGCTGAAGAATCTCCGCTGTTAGAAACCGCTGCCTCCTATCCAATGAGTACCAGGGGCTCTTTCTCCGGAGATAAAGTTGACCACTTACCTCCAACTAATGCCGAGATCAAGAAAACATGGATCTATACATTCGCTCTCCAGTACGCCTTCAGGTTCTAGTATTTAGTCAAACACAAGGACAAATTTAGTTTCTTCGACGTTAAGTTACAGATAAAAATATTTTTTTCTACGAAATCCATCCCTATCTGCATGATGTGTGTTATTGTTATGACAGGTCATGAAGAATTCGTCCGTATGACCATCGCGTCCTTTCGCCACATGTCCGTCATTTTTACATTCGTGCACGCGCGGCAAATAGCGCTCGTGTGTCCTCTGACGTATACATTCGGCTTGCAGAAGGAGTCCAGGAGGTTAAGTGCATCATAAAAAAGCTGGACTGTGTATATAAACGTCTTCTGCATCTGTATTTACCTACCTTTCCCTTCTTCCTTGCTTTAATAAAGAGTGCTCGTAGTATAGAACTGCCTTTTCTTTTGCCTTGCGTTTCTTTGCCTTCCTTTACTGACAAGAACACCCATAAATTGTATGCCACTGCGACAGAGAATCGATGCGAGGAGTTTGAAATGGTGAAGATTCTTTGTAGATACAACATGCCTACAGGAAAAGACAAAAGAAGAGAACAGAACAGAAGGAAGGGACGTTCAACGAACAGGGATATTATACTTTTTTTGTAATAAAACTTTATATAAGAAACCTTTCGCTGATTCACGGTCAACGCGAACGCTCCTACTGGTCTCCTTCTTATTGAGTTCACCAAAATATAACATTTTAGAAAATGTTAGAGGGAGGAAAACATATCAAGACCGCCGTTTGTCCAAGTAACTGTTCCTCTTAAATAAATGAAAAATATTGAGACGTGTAGGCCCGTTTCTAAGAAACGAATTGGCGAACACGTTTCCGGGGAAATACGATTCTTAGACACAAACCATCGCTGGGAGTTAAACGTGTCTATAGATACACAAATGGAAATTGTAGACTCTTGGAAACGAGACCGTTGCTACGATCAAGCAAGAAACATTTTCCATGAATGACCGCTGGACTAAATAGGCGGCCGTTCAGATAAGAACACATTCATCCCTTGTGGAGGCGGAGTCGAATACCTCCAACCTGCGAGTCGTAGGAGGCGACGAAGAGGGAAGTCTCGAATCT